AAGAAAATAAGACCCTGGTTGTAGCTGTTGTAAAATTAATGTAAAAAATTAATATGGTTGTTGTAAGTATTGTTATTTAATGTTAATAAAGGGAACAATGGAAGTACTTGTAGCTAACTATTAATGGTAAAGAAAAAAATTGAGATTCCGTATGTAAGTGAGCACATGTGAAAACATATTGCCATTACTATACGTAAGAATATGAAAGCATTACTTATTTACTGTTCATATATATTTTAATTAATGTTTCTGAATTTAAAAAAAAAATTCTACCCACCAGTGGTGGTAAAGTTCAAAACATAAGGACAGCCAATGTTGTTGTGTGTGTTTTTACTTGGATGACGAAGTTGCCAAGTCATCATGTTCAACTCTAGCTGAAAACATAGAGCATAAAAACTTTTTCTGTGGTGTTTTTAGTTTTTATTAAACTTTATCTGTGTTATTTTCGTTGGTTTATTAGGATGTTGCTTTATTATAGGTAGTAATTCGCCCAAAAGTAAGGTAAATAAGGCAAAATTTAGCCAAACATCGAGAGTACCAGTCTCAAATTAATTTTCTCCATAGGAGGTTGTATTTAAATTTGTAAGATTTTAATTTTGCGAGTTTTTTAGTCTAAATGGGTGTCCAAATATGAGAGCCTACTGTAAATAGGTGTCCAAATATGAGAGCCTAAGTATAAAGAAACAAACATTCCTGCGCTTTGAGACCAGCAGACAACCTTTAGCAATCCCTTAATAGATGGCGCTGCCGCACCACTGCCATTCATAAACAAACCGCACAGCAGCAAGGGTTTATTTTTATTTTTTTCTCAATATATCAACAATATTAGTTAAATCAATAGTTTTATAGTACTGTATAGAGAATACTTGTAATTGTTAAGTACTGTAATGAGGTAACAGTCTTTGTAAGGGGCTGATTTCAGTTGACCCTAAGAAAACCTCTGCTACAATTATCAACTAGCGTCCTGGAAGACGCATGGTAATTTTCAAGGTATATTTTTTTCATAAAATGTGCGTCTTTCAAGCCGAAAAATACTAGCTTCAGGTTTAGTAACAGTTTCAGCAACAGCTATGTTATCTTTATGGAAAGCTTCAGCTTCAGCCAGAGTTGAACCTGTATTGTTTTGGGGGAAAAGAGGGTAAAAAGCCACGCAAATGATATGAAAAGGTCACATTTGGGAACGCATCTTATTATTATTGCTTTATTTTAATGGTAATTAATGATTCGTGATATGATGATTCACCTTACACTGCAATATTGGAGGACAAATTACCGTCGTTATTCGAGACTTTACTGTATATTGGCCTGCACACTTTATTCCTTTTTATGAAATGACTACTTTAATAATTATGAATTGATGTTAGGTGATGAAGATACGGTGGTATCTCCGTTAGCCGGAACAATTGGTGTAGAGCATTTCCGGTAATGAGAGATTTCCAGGTACAGTGAGTTCTGCTATAACGCGTGTTTTGACAACGCGAATTTGCTCGAACGCGATTTATGAATTGAGGAACGATATTTGTAAAACGCGAACTCGTTTGCTCTAACGCGATTCCACTCGAACGGTTGTTGTGGCTTCAGTTCACGTTCGACATCACATGTTCAATTGAGTTATGTGTTTTGTTTGTGAACAACTGCAGAAATAATGTATGTAATATTTATGTATACAGTATACCTATATATTATAAGTAAATTGTAAAATTTTACATAAAAGAGAAAATCAAATTACATAGCGTTTTACACCCGCGCTCTCTCTACATCACACACAGTGTTTACAGTTCACGTTCGACATCACATATTCAATTGATTTATGTGTTTTGTTTGTGAAGAATTGCAGAAATAATTTATGTAATATTTATGTATACAGTAAACCACTCACAAGGTCCTACAGTACCACTAATTATTTTATACTGAAACTTACGTTTGGTAAGCTGGATTAAAATGAAGATTACCGGTATATTAAAATAATAAAAATGTATTATAAACCAGTCTAACATACCGTAATAAACACAGCTGCTATTATCATCCCCCCCTCCCCCATTTGCCAGTGACAAGAAAGGGAAAGTGACCTTGACTGTGACCGCCTGTGGCTATTTTTAGCCATCCTTGTGTTCGGAGGTGGTCAGTAATGCATATCTGTATATTTACTGATCATAATACTTATCTCTTATAAATAATTCATTTAAAATTTATTTTTTGCAAAGAATATTCAGTAAATGACTGCATTAATTCTTGAAACTACAACAGTGGTAAATTTAGGATATAAATAATGAACAGAAGTCGCGTCATGGATTCGGAGTTTGGTCCTTAACGATCACCATAAATGTAGCCTCCCTTTTTCGCGAAACACGTATATAAATTAAAGAAAATACTTGCATTATATTTAATATATTACAGTATATTATATATAAATAAATAAACAAATAAATTCAAATTCCCTTATCATCCTGTGTCATATACAGAAATACTTGAGTCCCTGAGCGAGTACACAAAAAGAAAACGGACATCCTGGAGTGGATAGAGAACGGACATCTCTACTGGGGGACTCAAACGTTTCTCATGTTTTGTGGGCGCTCTAGCATAATATGAATAATATGTAAATTACAATTTATATATATATATATATATATATATATATATATATATATATATATATATATATATATATATATATATATATATATATATATATATATATATATATATATATATATATATATATCTTACAGGTGACCTAAAATATAAGGTCAGGTGCATAATGATATCCACTAATCTCACACCAACACACACGAGGGAGGAGAAGGTGGTGACGTGACTACAGTGACCCACAAATATCAGATCAGTAAAGAGCTTTTATTCTGTCACTGACAATAAATTATGTAACATATTATCAGCTTTGAACTGATCATGGCAAATTTATTGTCATGGCCCATGTTAAAAATGCTTTGTTTGACCTGATGTGTGTTGTATGATTAGTGGATGTCATCATTATGACCTGACCTTATATTTTAGGTCACCCTAGTTATTTAAGTCTCTTCTGTCCATGTAACCCAGTGCCTCTGAAGATGTCTTGAATAAAAGACGAAAGCCAAGGTACCGCTGTTTCCATCGTATTTATCAAGATTTATCTTTAATCCACGTTTTCATTGTGATTTATAAATATATATATATATATATATATATATATATATATATATATATATATGTATATATATAACCCAGTTGCCTCTGAAAGATATCTTGAATAAAGACAAGCTAAGAATACTCCGTTGTTTCCATTTTCGTGTGATTTTATCAAGATTTATCTTATACGTTTCATTAATGAATTTACGCAGAAATATATATATATATATATATATATATATATATATATATATATATATATATATATATATATATATATATATATATATATATATATATATATATATATATATATATATATATATATATATATATATATATATATATATATATATATATATATATATATATAATATATATATATATATATATATATATATATATATATATATATATATATATATATATATATATATATATATATATATATATATATATATATATATATATATATATATATATATATATATATATATATATATATATATATATATATATTTGAAAAGCCTTCTCGTCGTGGCGTTTAAAGTGTAATGTGCAGTGTTGTGACAGCTCAATGTTTACAGTTCACGTTGACATCACTTGTTCAGTGATTTATGTGTTTTTGTTTGTGAAGAAATACCCCTGTACAGTATATATAAGTGCTTAAAAATTTAAATAAAAGAGAAAAACTAAATACGTAGCGTTTAAAGTGTACTGTACAGTGTTGTGGCTTGGCGCGGGGTTATGCAGTGTTTACAGTTCACGTTCGACATCACATGTTCATTTGATTTATGTGTTTTGTTTGTGAACAATTGCAGAAATAATTTATGTAATATTTATGTAAACAGTATACCTGTACAGTATATGTAAATTGTAAAATTTTAAATAAGAGAGAAAAACAAAATACATAGCGTTTTAGACCCGCGCGCTCTGTTTACTCCACACGTTCAGTTTGAAACACGTGTGAAGTTTTTAAGCGTCCTCAGTGAATTCTGATTACTGTATCTCCAATTTTGTGACTATGGAAAAGAAGAATATCTCTGGGAAGCGTTCTGGTGATCCCATTTCCGGTGGTGATCGTAAAAGAAAGGCTATAACACTTGAAGAAAAGCTTGATGTTTCATGACTCCTCAACATCACCCTTATCCCCCATCAAGTTATATTCATATTTTTTCAAGGTAAAGTGTAACATTTACTGTATGATTTCATTATTAGATATGAATGTAACATTTATTTAGACTGTGCTATCCTTTGTGTTAGGCTAACTACGAAATTTTTTTTCGATTTGGAGTAATCTGCACCTAACCCTATTTTCTCCATAAGCCCTGTTATTTCTATTACACGAATTTCTATAACACGATGTTTTACAAGAACACTACTATCGCGTTATAGCAGAACTACCTGTAATGAGACGACTCTTTCATAGCCGGAAAAAAAATCCCTCATCCCTGGAATTTTCCAGGTAAAGGAAAAATATTTTCGGAAGCTCCAGAAATTGCCTGTTACATCATCTCTCGAACCCGGAAAAATATCCCCCATCCCCGAAATTTTCTGGATACGTACTGGGAAAGTTTTCTCAGAATTTTCCAGCAAATGTGACCCTCTGAAAATCATTCCCATAGCCATAATTTTCCAGAACATTTTTGCTTTGGGAATGATTTTTTGAGAAAATTTAAGTTCCAGCTATCAGAGAGTTCTGGTTAAGAGGGATTCCGGCGAACGGAGATATTACTATTGAGAACTGAATGTCAGGAAATAGAATCGGGCAACCCATGAGTACCCAGTAGGTTGTTTTAACAAATTAGAAATTTAGAATTGTGGAATGTATGAGATAAGTCTTTCATTTTTAATTGTTTTCTCTTCTTTCATATCAGGTTGAACTCATAGTTGCTACCATTGCCTTTGGAATGGGGATAAATAAACCTGATGTCCGACGAGTCATTCATTATGGAGCACCTAGCAACTATGAATCATACTATCAGGAAATTGGTCGCGCTGGAAGAGATGGTTTGCCATCAGTGTGTACTGTGCTATATTCCGTACATGATTTTTCAGTCCATAGGTAAGATTTTCTTTAATGTCACTTTAAATTATGGCTGATTCTGATGAATACAGTATTTTCTTTGGTAGTCATCTAATTATTTCTCATAATTTTTTTCCCTATACTGTACAACTCACACATACTGTATTCAGTTATTTGAAGAAAATGTTAATTTCATTGATTATAACAAATTGATAAAAAATCTGAAAATCAATTTATTATATTGTTTTAAAATATGGAATTAGCAAAAATGAGTTCATGTTAATTACTAAACTTTAATGTATATTTTTTCAGATATTTCTTAAGCCTCATAAAATCAGAGGATTACAAAAATCATCGTAAGGTTATGATGAGTAAAATGGAAAAGTTTTTGGAATCCACTACCTGTCGCCGAGCAGAGATTCTATCACACTTTACATCGAGGCCTCCTAGTAGTGAACCAAAGAAAGACTGTTGTGATAACTGTACCAAAAAGTAAGCAATGTAATCTTGTTGATTTAGAATTACCGTATATACAGTACTCGTCTATATGGTAATTCTACCTCGTTTATAGGTTGACCCTGATTTTTTGACCAAGAAATCATTTATTTATTATATGCTTCATTTATAGGTCGATCCAAGCTTTTGAGGGTAATGGAACAGCAAAATCTTCAGTAAAAACACTCTACGTCCTATAAACTGAGGCTCGCCGTGCCTGAAACACCGAGCGCCGAAGGCAAATTGTTTACCATCCATTATTACGACACTTTACACTGAAAGACGAGTAGTTTCAGCAAATATATTGTATATTTCCTTTCAAGTATTTATTCATGTCAATTAGGAGGGAATATTATTGTAATACAACAGTTTTTTTAACTGAAAACCATTCGAAAAGCGATTACGGTAAAAATTTTTGAACAACGAAAGAAAGCGAAAGTCGATTGTTTCCGTCATGGTTTTATCCCACTTTCCACTGTAATACGTACGTCATTTCAGCAAAAATATTACATTTCCGTGAATATATTATATCAAGCACAGTATGAATAGAATATCATTGTAATGTAACAGTATTTTAACCGAAAACAATTAAAAAAACGAGTAACATCTCTTGAACATGAGAAGGTTAGGTAAAGTCTTTGTTTTCGTCATGAATTTTATCCTATTTTACATTGAAATACATCACGTTTCAGCAAAACTACTACAGTCATGCGCGGGCTAACGTCCTAGATACGTTCTTGGAAACGTGACGTTAACCGAAATGGATGTTGTCCGATCATCACATAAACTTTGTATTTATACTTACGTGTATGTGGAATACTATATACGTACATATACACGTTTACTCTTAAATCACAACTGTAATGTGATACAAGTGATTAATTTTTATCTCTTGTGCAAAATACATGACGTTTATATTAAAATTATTCACTGTTTTACAAGGATTCCAGCAACGCCGGGCAGATGGGGGAGAGGGAGGGAGCGAGTGAGCGAGGGGGCGTGGGGGGAGGGGAGGTAGTACGTTTGACAGTTGGCACAGGCCCAGGTCTTACGTTTGTATATTTATCAGTTCTTAAGTGACTAAGCTTCTCTCTTATAAAAAGCCAGTGAAATGACCCGGGGGGGGCACGGACGTATATGCGATCGGACGTTGTTCAGTCTGACGTTAACCGGCGCATGACTGTATTTATTTCCGAGAATATATTCATTCAGGCGCAGTTTAGGTAAAATATACTTGTGATGTAAAATTTTTTTAACTGAAAACGATTAAAAAAACACTTACCGTCTCGCTGATACTCAACAGCTGGTGGTGCGTCGTGCATCGTTGTAAACAATATGAGGTTGAGGTGGATTACCGGGTATTATATTAAGTGTGAAATATCGAAAAGTTTTTTATTACCGGTATTTTTATTAGATCAATGGGTACTGTGATACTGTATATGGTATGATAAGTTAGCCCGTGCTAAGAACTTCAGCATAGACTTTTTGTAAACCTCTTTTACGTTCACCACCGGCAATTCGATCACCAGAACGCTTCTTGGAAACATTCTTCTAAACTTGTCTTTCCATATTCATCGCTAACACAACAAAATTGGAGAAAACAGCGAAAATCACGGAGTAATCGACAGAAACTGCGCAATTCAACTGGTCACATGATGTGAACAGAGAGCGCTGGTGTAAACCGTTATTAGTCCTCACTGAGAAACATTCTTTTTATCTATTCTTTTCATTCAGTATTTATGGGTAACAGCTAAATTTAAAAAAACAAATTTTTTTTTACAGAGTACCTCTCAAAAAACACTTCACAAACAAAAGACACAAATCAATTAAACATGTGATGTCGAACGTGAACTGTAAACATTGCATAACCCCGTGCCACGCTTAAAACGTTGAGGATGGAATTGCGCTATAGCCAGCATTTGTATGCAAAAGTTCGCGTTTTATAAACAGCGTTCCCCTATTCATCAATTGCGTTACAACCAATTTGCGTTGACAAGACACGCATTGTAGCAGGAATGACTGTAACTGGTATGAGGGCTGTGACGTCATTCAAGACGGTGGCCAGCATTCAGTTGGCTGGATCTCACATTCAGCTGGCTGGATCTCACATTCAGCTGGCTGGATCTCGCATTCAGCTGGCTGGATCTCGTGTTCTGCTGGCTGGATCTCGCGAAACTCACAATATTTTACGCCAAATATAAGACTTGGTTACATTAGGTAGTGCTCGCGAAATTAAAAAAATGCAAAATGAAATCCCGTGAAATATGAGATCAAACTGTACTATACTGTACAGTGGTGGCCAAGAAACTTCCCTGGTAAGCCAATCCAAATAAATAGGTTTTATACTATTTAATATGTATTTGTATTGAAGTATTGTACAAAATTGAATTTCATAAAGAATTAAAAAACAGACAGCACAGGTATATAAGAGAAAACTATCATTAGCCAAGGTGCTTACCACAAATCTCACTTAGCAGCTTAGGAGCCTAACACCACAGGAGTTACCCAGTACCTAAATCCTCACCCAGCTGAATGGATGGTCCACCCAATTCTTCCCTCTCACAGTTTCACTTCTCATTTCTAGTTTTGGATTACCCGTACTTGTGAGAAAATTTATCCAGAACTGTGTCAACTCATATACTGTACTGTACTAAGCTCCATTCACTTGTAAGGGAAATATGGACTTAGCAGGGAATATCTTGGTGATACTCTTAATTTTTCATTAAAATTTTGGTTTAAATTATATTTTCTGAATGCCTGTACCTGGTGTTGTTACAGTCTACATAAATGACCTACAGGTTGTCTGACCATGATGCTGATAAAAGAAAATCACGAGTGGAATCTGCTCTTGATGATGATGGGAAATATGACTTTACTGAGGACTCCTTGAAGCTCATGAAGACAGCAGAGGTAATTACCTTTTAATATGCTGATAGTTTATAACATATTAAAGTAGGGCATTTATAAAGGGGCAAAACTCACAAGGAGGATTACATATACAGTATTACCCCGCTTTACACGGTTTCACTTTCTGAAATCATCTACATACACGCGGTGAAGTATAATTTTTTTTTTTTTTTAGCTCATAAAATTCATACAAATTACTCGACCAGAATATAATTTACATTGCTGGAATTCTTACAATATGATGATCATTTTGAATATCAACATCATGGATTTTGCATTAGACATACAAATTTTAGATCTAAAGTAATAATTTGGTTTACACAAAGCAAATATTTTATCTTTTGTGCAAAATATATGAAGTTTACATTCAAAATATTCCCTGACCTGCAAGGAATCCAGAAATGTCAATTATATTATCCTAACTTTAGTCTGAGGTATTATTTATTACTAAACGTTAAAATCTAGAGTTTTCACCCAAACAATCAGAGAGGTAGGAGCTAGTGAGCTGGGAAGATGGGGGGGGGGGGATTTGAGTCCATTATTTGAATGGACATTAACCTGGCGACTGTATTTTTCCTAAATATTAATTGTGTGAGCATACCATCATAAAATTTAGATGTTATTTTTACTACAACATAGGTATTGTGTCGGAAAAAGTGGAGTTTGGGGGTTGGGCCAGTCTCTATTGGAATTAATCCCATATGTTCTGTTGTTCACTTTATGCGGTTTTCACTTTCCGCTTACCCTGTGGGTTCAATTGACCGCGTAAATCGGGGTACTACTGTATATATAGGAAGTATAGAGAGTAGAAATGTAAAGATAGGAAACTTGTTAGCGTGGCCAGGATGTTATTTACTCAGCCTCAACACGCTTATCTTCTATGTCAATACACATATCTATGCTTCTCAAGGGACAACTTCTCAACCACCTCTTCGATACAACTATTTATTAATTCACTCAATGACATGGACACATTAATATCACTATTATATCGAGGTACTAACACATTATGTTTTACGTTACTCGACACTGACTCTCGGACAAATTATGAATGAAACACTTCCCACATTTGGTAACTCACCCTAGAGATTGCTCTGACAATGTCTCACGTGTACACCTGATGTAGGCCCAGTGGGTGTTGGCTGGGCTCTCGTATGCGGGACTCTGCTTAGCTGGGGCGTCGTGAAGTCTACCCCTCCGACCTAGGGGGAGGGGACGAGTGTGACTGTGCGAGTGGACAGACTGTCCTCTCAATGACCAGCCTCTCTGAATGATGCGTATCAGAATCAACGTGAGAATGAGAATGAGTGTGGACGGGACTGTAGGGCCTTTATATGGGGTCGGACCAGCCGGCTTTTGACCTACCAGCCAATTAACACTAAACTGGTTAGATCTGGATAGCTGTGTTCAGGTGTGGTCATGCCCAGGTGTCTTGATCAGGTGAGGTCACGTGACCCTCTATTTCAAGTAATTAGCAGGCGAGGTCAAGTCCCTAGGATCTTGGGGTGTGTCCACCTGGTGTGTGGTGGTACCACGAGGTCTCTACACACACTCTGCTATATGTATTTGCTGTGATATGTGTTATGCTCTTCTGGGCTGTAAGCTTTGGTCTGATATTCAATTATTACTCCTCCCGCTAAGACCACAGGGGCTGGTGTCACATATAGACAGCAACATCATGTGTAGTATCAAAGATAGTCCCTGGGGCGATAACATAGTCTCACATTTACAAACAATAATCTCATAGGTGTATGTTTTTCTACTGGCGCTAGTTTGATCTGACAAAGCTCACTATACCTCCCGCCAAGATCAAAGCTTCTATGCCAGGAGAAAAAAGAAACATAGCAAGTGAACATAGAATTAAAAAATCCTTCATATCTAGCATTGTATCCGAGATAAACTTGCAAATCAAAACAACAACAACAGGTATTACATCTCCTTATCAGCTCATGTCAAAATAATAATTCATCTCAGTCAGTAATATGGCTACAACATCGTGTTTCATAGTCCAAACATTGATCAAATGAACTCACAGACAAAGTGACTAATCTTTCTTTAAAAAAAACATTCTTTGTAGAAAATATTAACAAAAATCAGAGAATAAAATACTTCAAAATACATAAAAAGTGCTCCTACTTCACATGTTAGGGTTTTATATCTTTTTATTGTACATCAACAACATCAACAACATCAGTACATTAATGTGGGTCCAGCATAGCTCACGTCTTCCATCCAGCTGGTATCTGAAAAATAGGGGATGCCAGCGGTACAGCAGCTGTGGTGGGTTGGTCCTTCTTCTAATCCACCTCTTCATCGTCGTCTTTCTTCTAATGTCAACATAGCACATCTTCTGTCTTCTTTCTGCACATAGCACGTCTTCTGTCTTCAATACCGCACCTTGTAGGTCGTGTCTCCACACCTTCTGACTTTTTTCATTTCCTCCTGGTTTCTATACTATTCCAGATGAGTTTTCTGTCCCATCTGCGTTCTTCCTCTACATATAGAGCCTCATTTTCAACATATTCCAGATGAATTTTCTGTTCCATCTGCCTTTTTTCTCAGTACATCATCATTTTCAACATATTCCAGACGATTTTCTGTTCATCTGCCTTCTGCCCCTCCGGCCGGGATTAAGGCCGGTCCACTGCTTGGGCTGTCATCTCCTTCGGTGACTCGTAAGGCAGGTTCCGCGGACCAGGGCTCGCCCTCCGTACGTGAATGTCGGCGAGACCAAAGACTGTCCTGTCTTACACCTTCCACAGTGGTGAATCCCTCCCTGGGTGGGCTCTCCAGGGTTCGTTGTGTGGCGCTGCATTCCACACTCCTTAACTTCCTAAAGTAGAAAAATATAAAATCTTCTTAATCCTAGACCAAAGGAGGACTTGAAAGAAGTGACGTGGTGTGAGGTAGGTGGTGGTGGTGGGTTGGGTGCTGCATTCATCACGCTGCCCTCATCACGCTGCTTTCTTCACGCTGCTTTCATCACTCTGCTTCTTCTCTGCTCGTATGAACTGTGGTTGAAGTCCAGCTGGGCATGGGGCGGTACTGTGTGTGACATTTGACAGAGAAACAATCCTAAAGGGATGATGGATTAGTTGGAAATGCATCCGTAAAAAAAAGTTTACTGTACTTTGTACGTTACGTCAATGTTTGGCAACTGTGGTTTCCTTCACATCAATGTTCTCATCAGGCTGGGACGGGGAGTGAAGCTCTGTTCACTACGCTGAATATCATTTATCACTACGCGTCAAATAGTACATCACAAATCATACTAGCATAAAAATACACTGAGTGAAGCTCTGCGTTCATCGCAATATCACGTTACACTAACCATCATCATCAACACATAGCTTACGGGACAACAGACGGGGGGGTTAGTGAGGTCAAACGAGGTGGGGCGGGTCAGAAGGAGGTGAGGTCACACGAGGCGGATGAGGCGGGGTGGGGAGGAGCGGCGCGGGGTGAGGCGAGGCTGGCCAGGCCAAGCCAGGCCGGTGCGATGCAGGGCACGGAACGGCGGGGCGGGGCAGGGATGGGAGGAAGGGTAAGGAGGGTGAGGTGAGTATTAGGACAGGGAGGAGGATTTAGGTTAAAAGACATGTTAGGTTAAAACAGTTAGTACAGACACCGCTTCTATCACTGAAACACAATGGGTACTTCAACACTGACCAACAGTCAAACTGCACTTGGGCTACTGAGAACGTCACAGATCGTGGGGGGGGGGCACTGAGAAATTACGTTAAGCACTGAACATATTGCTAGTAAAAATTCGCTCATACCACGACGAGAGACATTTACTTAAGCTGTAAAGATGACACACTAGGACACTTGTCACGCTACTACGCAGGAACTCCTTATTACGCACTTTTGAACAACACTCAAATTGACGAGCCAGGTGTTATGGCTAGACGGGGGAGGGCATGGGTTTACGTTAAAGTACACTGTCACCTGTAGCAAGGGACGAGGAGGGCGTGGGTTAACGTTATAGTTCACTGCCACCAATATAATGGGGCAAAACTCACAAGAAGAGGATTACATATGTATATAAGAAGTATAGAGAGTAGAAATGTAAAGATAGGAAACTTGTTAGCGTGGCCAGGATGTTATTTACTCAGCGTCAACACGCTTATCTTCTATGTCAATACACATATCTATGCTTCTCAAGGGACAACTTCTCAACCGCCTCTTCGATACAACTATTTATTAATTCACTCAATGACATGGACACATTAATATCACTATTATATCGGGGTACTAACACATTATGTTTTACGTTACTCGACACTGACTCTCGGACAAATTATGAATGAAACACTTCCCACATTAGGTAACTCACCCTAGAGATTGCTCTGACAATGTCTCACGTGTACACCTGACGTAGGCCCAGTGGGTGTTGGCTGGGCTCTTGTATGCGGGACTCTGCTTAGCTGGGGCGTCGTGAAGTCTACCCCTCCGACCTGGGGGGAGGGGGAGGGGACGAGCGTGACTCTGTGCGAGTGGACAGACTGTCCTCTCAATGACCAGCCTCTCTGAATGATGTGTATCAGAATCAACGTGAGAATGAGAATGAGTGTGGACGGGACTGTAGGGCCTTTATATGGGGTCGGACCAGCCGGCTTTTGACCTACCAGCCAATTAACACTAAACTGGTTAGATCTGGATAGCTGTGTTCAGGTGTGGTCATGCCCAGGTGTCTTGATCAGGTGAGGTCACGTGACCCGCTATTTCAAGTAATTAGCAGGCGAGGTCAAGTCCCTTGGGTCTTGGGGTGTGTCCACCTGGTGTGTGGTGGTACCACGAGGTCTCTACACACTCTCTGCTATATGTATTCGCTGTTATATGTGTTATACTTTTCTGGGCTGTAAGCTTTGGTCTGATATTCAATCATTACACATTGTCTATCTGTTCACCTTTCTGCTTAAGTTTTATTTAACCGTTTTTGCATTTAGTTTGGTTTTAGAGATACTGTAGGCTTCTAATGTAATTCCAAAAGAAATTTTATATTTAAAATTTTTTTGTACCTTGAAAATTCTGAAATAAGTTATCTGGGAGTTTAAAAAAGAACCAAAAATGGGCACGAAAGTCGACAACACAATATTTTGAGCATTTTGCTGCCCACACTTTTGTCTAACATGGGTTTGATCATACGCTTTAAGTAAAATGTGGTAATCATTTGTTGAATATGGGGAAAATTTGGTTTTACAAAACACCAGTCATGGTGTTTACTCTGCTACCCCACATCTGCCTCACACCACTGTAAGGTTTATGTGTTTTTGTCTGCCCACTTGTCCTGCCCAAGAACTTTTATTATTATTTTCCATTTTCCTGAGTACCCTTTTGACATGGTCCTTATACTAGATCTGCTACTTTCAAGATACCCCTAAAACATTTGTACTCCCATTCAGGAATTGATTGTAGTATTTTCTCCAAGCATCTTTGATTTCCCCTTTATCAACAATTGCATTACCATGATTTTTGACTAACAATTTCCTTGTTTCTATCTACTTTTTGTCTGGCTGTTCTGAATACCTTTCCTCTTGCATCTTTAGTTTTCAACATATTCACGAATGCATCCTATTCATGCATCTAAACCTTGGAAACCTCTCTTCTGGCCCTGCACTTGGCCTCAATGTATGCTTCCTTGTTACCACCCATTTTCTAAACCTTATTCAAACTTCTTTTCTCCTTTATCATTCAATCCACTGCATCATTCCACTTCCATTCCTGGATGGGCCCTTTGTTCACCCACACATCTTGTGTGCAGAGTTCAGTAGAACATCCTTTATTTTGGCCCAGCATCTTGCTATACAACTCCTCATACTGTTGCTGGCTGTTTCCATTCTTCTCAGCATAAATTGCTTCTCTTACATTCTGTTCCTTCAATTTCCACACTCTCCCTCCCAGAACATACACCTTCCTTTTCCTGCATCATTTAGGTAACATGCTACACACAAGCAATCTCTGCTACTGGGCACATTCTTCCCCTGCTATAACCTTTTCATCCCTAACAAGCTTCCTATCTGGTTTCCTGACAATTATGTAGTCAATCTAGGTTTTGTTTTACCTGACTCATTTTTAAACATTGATTTGCATACAACCATCTTCAGTGCATCCCCAAACTCAATTATTCTTTCTCTTTCCATATTTCTTGTACCATAGCCTTTTCTACCATGCACAACTTCATAATGTCCAGTGTGTACACCAGTATGACCATTTATGTCACCTCCCAATACTGTATACTACAATTTCACTTCCACTCAGCTCTGACTCTATGCAAAAAAATAATATAAGAGATTTAAGATAAATTTGATTGGTTTGGTTGATTCATTTTATCAATCATAATTAATAGTTTCCACTTACCTCATTTATAGGAACAAAACCACTGTTACTTGTATTAGGCTTACTTTACATAAAGTGCCTCTATTTTAAAACTCATTGTTCAATCTTCTTACAAAGTGAATTGTTTTTTCAAAATAGTTATGAATTTCATGTATTTTTTGTAAGGAAATTCTTGTTTTTTAGGTAATTGTGTACCACTAAACTAAATAGTACTTTTTCTTAGGAATTTCCATGTAGAAATGGTTCATGCTCTCAAAGTATGATTGAATGAGAGGAAGTAACTTTGTTCAGAAAATGGGAAAATTAACAATCTGGTCTTCATTCCTTCCTAACAGTCTAGATATATTAGATTGTACTGTACATAATTTGGAGGTATGTATGTCTGGATGAAGTGTAACCAAGAAAATGAAAAGATGGGGTGTAGGTCACACTAGATAAGGGAATGGACATCCAGGAAGTAGCAGTGTGTGTGAATGACAGGAGAGCATGGCTTCAAGTGGCTTAGGGAAAATTAATAATAGTGAATGAAGAATGTGTGTTGGTTATTGGTTCTGGACTCTCTGCAGTGTAACTGGAAAGGGCTGGCAAAAGTGAACAAAATAAAGTTCTTAATTTTATGCATTGAAAAATTGCCTTATAATAGCTCTCCGTCCTTAAAATTTGCACACTATAAAAAATTCTATCTCTTCACATCTGTGTTTAGTGTCTCACATATGATTTCACGTATAATCCATTATATTATGTTCATTCAACTACAGTACTTTAAGATAAAGTTTGGGATTATTTAAGGACTTGTTGAGAACTCTTTTATTAATTGTACTTTATTTTACAGGCATGTCACGGACAGTGTGCCATTGGGTCACTTATACATATACTTCGGGGCTCAAATAATCAGAGAGTGAAGCCACGTTGGAAGACTTTCTCAACATTTGGTGTTGGTAAAAAACGTAATGAATCTTACTGGAAGGCACTTGGTAAATATATTGTCCTCTGTAATAGATATGAAAATGAAATACTGTACAGTATATTTGTATGAATTGACTGCTGTGCAGTTTATTATATGAAATTTTGGTCTGTTATCATTTTAATTCTTTAGTGTACAGTTAACCCTCACTTTACGCGGTCCCACATTCCGCGTTTCCACGTTTACGCGGTGCCCTGCCGGAACCCAGGATGCTCACATTCCGCGGTGCGTGTACCCCTTTACGCGGAGAGCGGCTGGCGAGCCGCGCCATTTTTGGATCCAAACCTCCCGCCATCCGCCATGTTGTGTAAGCGGCGCGAACATGGTGCGCACAAGGTCGCCCAGTCATCAAAACATTACCAGTTCTTCACCCGCCACCCACCACAGCCGGCCCAAGTCAGTGATAGTGATAATTATGGTGAGGATATGGACTTATATGGACTTTGGGGAGTTTAACAAAGAGGCCCTGCAAGCCTCTGTGGTGGATAGTGATACAATTGATACAAGTGACACAGGTGAGGGCCAATAATCTGCCCTCTGCCTCGGAACCAACCGCCCATCCCCGTGTGCCCAGCCATTTTTTCTACTAATGTAAGTGTTAAAAAACCTAATATTATTGATATTTCTCTTAATTATTAATTGTGTGTGCATACCATCATAAAGTTAAGATAATATTTTTACTACAACATAGTTGTGTGTCGTCAAAAAGTGGAGTTTGGGGATCGGCCCGGACTCCATTTCAATTAATCCCATATGTTATGTTATTCACTTTACGCGTTTCTCACTTTACGCGGGACCCTCCGGGTTACATTAACCGCGTAAAGTGAGGGTTAACTGTATACTGTAATGTAATGAGGTATTTGTAATAATAATAATAATAAAAATAATAATAATAATAATAATAATAATAATAATAATAATAATAATAATAATAATAATAATAATAATAATAATAATAATAATAAGAGCTGGTCATTTGTTTCTCAAAAGTGCTACTTCTAAAAATAATCACTCGCGGTCAAAATATTATAAAGTCAAGGACCTGAGAATAAAAAAGAGAAAAAAAAAGTGACAGTTTGTTATCTTTAAGTTTTAATACTTCCCAGACTGTAATTCTCCATCGCTCCATCACCCTCTTCAGGATCGTAAGCTTTAAAAAAAAAAGTCTTAAATTGTTTCTTAAAGGCCTCCACAGAAGTCGGCTGCTTTATGGATGCAGGCAACTAATTGTACAATCTGGATGATGTATAGGAAAAGGGCCAGGCAGCAAAAGAAAGTTTCCATGCTGCTCTAGGCTCCTCAGCGCGTGAGGGATATTATCACTACTACGCAAAATCATTTCGGAACTTCTGGTCAAAGGAATTTACATAGTAGGTTATATAAATGCCTTAAAAGTCATTAGGCAGAGTTCGAACACTATCCTAGGTTTAATTGGAAGTCAGTGCAATTCAATCAAGAACGGGGTAGTGGGAGTGCCCGGTGGGAGAGCAAATATAAGCCTGGCAACCCTGTTCAGCACTGTCCGAACTCTCGTCAGTTGATAATTACAGTAGGTAGGCAGACCCGTAAAGAGTTAAAGTAGTCAACCCGAGACAAAGTAAGTGAATGTAATAATGTCACAAGACACTGTTTGTCCCTAAACTGTTTAACAGCATATAGGTTTTGAATATGAAAGTTGCGAATCTTAACTACTGAATTTATATGCTCTTTAAAATTCAGTTTTGAGTCAGGTACACTCCAAGATTATGAACTTATGTACTTCCCAAAGTTTAAAGACCCAAAATCATCTGTGCTGTCTCCCCTCATATTTCCTTGGATGACAATAATCTCGGTTATGCCATCATTCAACTGAAGTTTTCTCTTAGCCATCCATTAGTTTATCAATGTTCATGAAAATTTGCTTTTGCCATCAATTAAGCAGTTATTCAAGATAACTGTAACAGTTTCTCTTCATGTGATTTTATGTGCAAATTCAAATGTTCATGTGCAACCATGTTTAAAATGAAAATGTAAGTGTATAAGTTGGAAAAGACTTGTAGGTTTTAGTTGATTGTACAAAATGTTAGGAATTAACAAGATGGACAAGGACCTTATTGAAGAAAGAAAATGCCAAAGCAGAACACATCTGCACCAACATTTAGAGCCACCTTGTATCAGTGGGAAAGATTTAATAAAAGTGAAAACTAAATACAGTACTGTAATTGTTATTCATCACTCATCTCTGTGATTTCTGTTTTTCAGCCAAGATGCTAGTTTTTGCAGAATACCTCTCAGAGACAACTGTAGGTGGAGGTGGAAACTTCCGAGGACGTGGTCGAGGCCAACAGGGTCGATTTCAGTCCAATTTCTCATACGATGCCATTGGGGCCACCAGACAAGGAGAGAGTGCATTGATGAATCCTAAGTTAGTTATTTTGATATTTTTTTCAAGCATGCATGTCTTTTACATTGAAAACTGTTTTATTCAGTAATTAACCCGTCAATAGTCACATTATGAATAAAGTATACAGTGCATATTACGTCTCCTGGTCAGCAAAAAATGTAATTTTCTTTTTTATCTCAATTGCTCCCAAACGACCCCAGTATATGTGGAAAAATGGCAAAAACATTTAAATGCCCAATTTTAAGCTCCCACTGGGGTCGCACAGATGGGATGGAAGCGAGGTGTTGCCAACCTTACCCTGTGCACTCGTAGTTGTGTCACTTATAAATACTTTTCATTACTTTTTTTTTTGCTACAAATTACTTGAACCAATTCTATATACCGTGGTATTATATCACACTGAATCGTTTATATCAATGTGCACAATAATTTGTTTACCATATTTTACGGCATATAAGACACCCCATTTTAGCTGGGAGTATTTAGGAAATAACTTTTGTGTGGATTTTCCTCCTGTAGCCATAGTTTTCTTAAAATAATGAATACAGTACCAGTAAATGTTAGGAATAAATAAAAATAATACCAATAAATAAGTAAAAAAAAAAAAAAGTATTGCCAAACCAGTAAATAAAAGCCAAATGAAAGATTAACACAATCACCATATGCATATACTCCCTGGTTGACCATAGCAACGAAGACGCTACCTCTGCTAAATCCCTAGCAGCACTTCCCGCTCCCACACGCCACGCCTCCTCCTGCTCCCCCATTGAGCCAGCTAACTCCTGTGCAAAGAAATGTGTGAGCTCTTAGGACAATTATTTCTTTTACTTTTTTCACAAAATGAAGAAAGTTACATAAATCTATCCAAAAATACAAGATGAAAAACAACCATAACACCTCACAGCTTGGCCCAGTAGCCTGGTGGTTACAGTGACGAGTCTAACCTGGCTACAATGCCGCCAGCAATGTTAACAGATGCAAATGCGAAAAGTTATCTGTAGGTCTTCATTTGTATCAGGTATTTGTAGATTTAAAAATAAATGTGGGTATGGCATTAATAGATTGTAATGCTTTTAAGAGTTCAGAAATGGTTACTGCTTAGCTACCTCTGAAGAGTTGGGTGTCTGCCGTACTGACAGTAATCGTCTCAGGTTATCATCATCATCAGTACAGTAGTTATAAATTGAGCTTTTATATTTGCAGTAATTATTTTTAATTAATTAAAAATAATAATAATGTGTTTAAAATAAGCAATAACGTTTTTATTTCTGGAGTTGGGTTAGGTAGAATTTAGCCTACTGGAGACAGCAACTGGTGGATTTGTTAGCATACAGGAGAGAGCAACTGGTTGATTCATTAGCTTACAGGAGAAAGCAACTTCACATATAGGATGCAGGCAGATTTTTTTGCCATTTTTCAGACAAATAAATGTGTCTTCTATGTCGTAAAATACGGTACAGTATACGTGGCATCATTGCTCCCGTATATGATGACTGATAACAAAGTTGCAACAACTATATTCTGCATTAGTGTATTTTGCATCAGTCTTGCACTTTCTATTTTTCCCTTTCAATGCTGCACTTGCTAACAGGTTCAAATAATGTTTTTTTTCTCTTTTATTTGAAACAAAAAAAATATATATGCTGTGCTATCTGCAAACTAGAAGTAAACAAGGTTATTTAACTCTTTTGAATGATATTGAGAGAGTTTATGCTGTCTGACACAGCTGGCTGCATGGCCTCCATTATCACTGTTTGCTTCACAATAAGTAGGGTCGGGATATATCGTGAGATAGGGCCCAAGGATGTTTGCCATATACTAAATCGCGATATATACAGTAATTAAATGTAATCATTGGGGGAAAATAGGGTTAGGTTCTGGAGGCCAATAAAAGTGACTAAACTGACTCAACAAGTAATTTTCTTACTAACTAAAGCACCAATGAACACCAGACTTGGCAGCTGATGCGCCATCCTGGGAACACCAGACTCGGTCTCAAACGTATCTGTATATTTCCATTGCCTCATTCTTTATCATTGGACCCGAACTAGCAACTTTACGGCATTGCATGTTTTCAATGCATATCTTGAGTGTTTCTTCCATTTCTTGGTAAAGTGGTGGCAGTAAGTGTTGGGTGGTCTTGGAAACTGTTGGTTCAGCAAATGCTGCATGAATGTTGTCTGTCTTCTGTCTGATGCCACAAATGGTGCTTTCATTAACTCCGAAGCGGCGTGTGACAACAGAGGCACTTGCTCCATGTTCAAGTTCGTTTAGAATCTTCATCTTATCACCACCATTGAAGGTTTTCCTCTTCATTTCCTCAATTGAACTGGGAGGAATGGTACTGGTACTAGTACGCTTAGGCACTTTGGTAGACAGTAGTAGAGCACATGGTGACCTTGACTGGAGAGCGCAGCGTCTGCACATCGCAAGAGCTAAAACAGAAAGACTGTGCGGGTGAGCGTGAATGCGTGAGTGAGCAGCCACGGTGGAGTCTCTGGTGAGCAAATAACGCATTTATTTACCATGGCGGTAAATTTGAAATATTTCCTGCCCGATTTCCCTCACGAAATAAATAGATTTATCGCTATACAGTAGGGTCGGGATATATAGCCGCTTTATATAACGATTTATTTATATCGCGGCTACTAAGATTATTGACATTTTCCTATAAATATAGCGATAATTTTTTTTATTTCGCAAGGGAAATCGGGCAGGAAATATTTCAAATTTATCGCGACTACCAAAATTATCGAAATTTTCCAGTTTATAGCGATAAATTTATTTACAGTAGACTCACAACTTACGTGGGGTTATGTTTCTGGGACCTCACATAAAGCCAAAAACCATATAAAGTCAGAAACACCCCTAAAATTGCCCTATATTGCCCCCAAAATATGAGTTGTAAAACTGCACAGTACTTAACCCTTTCACAGCTGGAGGTTACCCTAAGTTGAATAAAATCGTCTGGCGATATCCTGAATAAAATGGCAAGTGCGTGACACGCGGTGAAAGGGTTAATCGAGATAGGTTTTAACCCTTTCACAGCAGGAGGTAACCCTAAACTGAATAAAATGGCAAGTGCGTGACACGCGGTGAAAGAGTTAAATGTACTGTAAAAGACTAAAATTTTTATCTTGTGCAAAATATATGATGTCTATATTCAAATTATTCGCTGTCTTGCAAGAATTCCAGCAATGCAATTTATATTTTGCTAATTTTAGTCTATGACATTTTATAAGATAAAACTAAGCCTAAAACCACTTTCAATCCTGCTGGAAGTGGAGAAGGAGGTGATTTATTATGACAGGGAAGTGGAGAGGGAGGTGATTTATTAAGACAGCTGGGCCAAAGCGCAGACAACGGTTACCTCGTGATATTTATTTATCTGTCATATAGGGGGAGTTTATGTTTTTTCTTATAAAATGTCAATGAATTGACTTAAGAGAATATAATTAACATTGCTGAAATTCTTGTAAGACAGTGATTAATTTGAATATAATCATGCTATAGTTTGCAATAGACATACAAATTTTAGTACAGTTAACCCTCACTTTACGCGGTCCCGCATTCCGCGTTTCCACGTTTACGCGGTGCCTTGCCAGAACCTAACGTGCTCACATTACGCGGTACGTGAGCCCCATTACGCGGAGAGTGTCCGGCGCGACGCTATTTTTAGATTCGCCCCACCCGCCACCCGCCCGCCTGCCTGCCTGTGCTCCTCGCCTCTCCCTCCTCCTCCCTCCGCTTGGGCAAGCCACGCGGTAAGGTTGCGCAGTGTGTGTCTTTGTTGCATTATCACTGACGTCATATGACGTATCGGACTGTGATCGGCCATGCATCCCTATCCCCCTCTGCTGCTAGCTGTAATTGGCTTAAAGTATTATGACGTGTCCACCCGGGGGAGGGAGGAAAGACGACGCTTGACCTAGCCGCGGCAGTTTCATCCCTCAAGGCCACACCGTGTAAACGCGCATCCATTGTTCCGTAAAATGGCTTCCGCCGGACCACCACCCCCAGAGAGAAACCTTTCCTTACCTGGACCCAGCGGCACTAAGCCAAAGAAGACACGACGTTCCTTAAGCTACGAGGTGAAGTATACCATCATCCAAGAGTTGGAGAAAGGAACAAGGCAGGTTGATCTGGTGCTCCAGCATGGTGTGAATGAATCTACGATTTGAAAAATAAAGAAGGATGCAGCCAAGATAAAGGAGCACATGAAGATCACAAAGTCTACAGGTGCTTCTATGATCAAGTATTTTCACAACCAGGTGCTTCTCAAGACAGAAAAATTACTTGTGAGGTACTTGGTGCGTCAGGCGCGACGGAACATGGCGGTCGACACGCGCTCTGTTAAGGACTACGCACGTGAACTGTACATGGCAGTGGCACGAAAGATGGGAATTACAGAGCCCAAACCCTTTAATGCTTCCTCTGGGTGGTTACAGAGGTTTAAGATCCGGAACAAGATCACCAATATAAACATTGGTGGTGAAGAAGCGAGTGCTGACCGTGCTGCGGCTAGGGAATTTCCTCCGTTTTTACGTGAGATTATGGAGGAAGGACAGTACAGTGACGACCAGGTGTTTAACATGGGCGAATCTGGTCTTTTCTGGAAAAAGCTACCTTCCAAGTCCTTCGTTGTAAAGAATGCCAGCAGGATTCGGGGCCGGAAGAGGCAGAAGGAACGCATCACCGTCCTGTTTACCACCAATGCCTCCGGTACCTGTAAGCTCAAGTTATCGGTGATCCACACAGCACGCAAGTCGCATGCCTACAAAACCATGGACATGACCAAGCTAAATGTCCACTGGCTGACCGCACGTAAGGCGTGGATGTTCTCTACACTGTCCCTCTCCTGGTTTGATGACTGTTTTGTTCCCGATGTAAAGAAATTCTGTGAGCGACAGAATGTGCCATTCAATATTTTGTTGCTGCTGGATAACGCACCAGGACACTCGCCCCTACTGTTAGATCGTCACCCCAACGTAAAAGTGGTCTTCCTTCCTCCCAACACTACGTCTATATTACAGCCCATGGACCAAGAGTTAATCTGTAATGTAAAAGCTGCATTCTCAACAAAAAAATTCCAGCTCCTGAACGACTACACCAACACCAGGGAAGAGTTGCGTAACCTGAGTGACACCACCACCGATAGCAAGAGCGAAGAAGATGAGGATCAACAGTTGGCACAGCAAAAAATACTGTTCAAACAATTCTGGAGAGTATTTAACATCAAGAAAGCTGTGGACTTCTTGGTGGAGTCATGGGATCAGCTGTCTATTGCTACAATTCGTCACGCATGGAGACATGTGTTGCATGGAATACCAGGTGAGAGGAGGAGTCAATCTGTGACTGGTGAGGTTCAGAATGTTGCAGTAGCAGTGGACCTTGCCAGAGAAGCTGCGCAGACTGTTACAGTTCCAGGCTTCTCCGAGACCACCAACGACGACATCCTGGAGGTGATCAGAGATCCTGAAGTGACTGCCGACGAGATGTTGGAAGAAGATCACGTCAGTGAAGAGGAGGAAGAAGGTGCGTCATTCTCCGAAGAACACAGTTTAACTCATAGTGATATTAAGGGTGCCATGGAGTGTGCAGAGAAAATGAAGTCCTTCCTTTCCCGCGACAATGACCGCTATGAAGTCTTCCATACCCGGCTGGGGCAGGCTATGGAGCTGTACATCACGGTGTATCACGACAACATAAACACCAGCCGTCAAAAAAGCATAACCGAGTTCTTCGCCCGCAACCCACCACAGCCAGCCCAAGCCAGTGATAGTGACAGTGAAGATGACTTTGAGGGATTTGTCAGGGAAGCCCTGACAACTGTAAGTGACAGTGATGGTGATTCACCTAGTAATGGTGATTCACCTGAGGGCCAGTAATCTGCCCTCTGCCTCGGAACCAGCCTCCATCCCCGTATGCCGACCCATCTCTTCTACTACCGTAAGTGTTCCACCTAACTTTTAGTTTTTCTAACCTAACCTTTATTTTTCCTATGTTAACCTTTATTTTTCCTAACCTAACCTCTTCTATTTTACCTGTTTTTTCATACCATCATAAAGTTAAGATAAAATTTTTACTACAACATAGTTGTGTGTCGTCAAAAAGTGGAGTTTGGGGGTCGGCCTGGACTCCATTTCAATTAATCCCATATGTTATGTTATTCACTTTACGCGTTTCTCACTTTACGCGGGACCCTGCGGGTTACATTAACCGCGTAAAGTGAGGGTTAACTGTACTGTACTTAATTAGTACATATGACTAAAAATTTTATCTCGTGCAAAATATATGATGTTAATATTCTAATTATTCGCTGTCTTGCAAGGATTCCAGCAATGCAATTTATATTCTGCTATCTTTAGACTGTGCCATTTTATGTCAAGTTTAATCACTTTTATTGGTCTACAGAACCTAACCCTATTTTACCCATTGATTACGTGCAATTATATATGGCAATTTAGTATATAGCGAACATCCTTGGACCCTATCTCGTGATATATCCCAACCCTACTGTATATTGGAAAATGTTGATAATTTTGGAAGTCGCGATATAAAAAAATCATTATAAAAATCGGTATATATCCCAACCCTACTGTTACTTTATTTATAAATGTTAAAGGTATAAAACTATTATTAAGTACAGGCAGTCCCCGGGTTACGTACGAGTTCCGTTCCTACAGATATTTTTGAATCAAACCCTACTTACAGAACAATGTTTAAAATCCCACTTTATTGTAGCCTAAGTCCTTATATACATCTAAAATCACTTAATTTAAGAGAAATGGAGAAATAGAATGATAAAATACAGTAAATGATAGGAAAAAATAAGTCATCAGGTAAAGGTAGTAGGTAGCCATCAAACAGGAAGGTTCTACCACCTAGGAAGATATTGGAAACATAATGTATTGTCTAATGGTAGACCCTGCTGCCATATGGCATCACAAAAATTGTAACAAAGTCCTAGGTTGCTCATCTGACTTTCTGCCTCATTTACATAAAATTGCAGGGTCTCAATTGTTTTTCTTTTTTTTGACACCACAACATATATTGTATATTATTTCTCACACGTGATTTGTTCTCATAATTTTTTCAATTTTTGCATACCTAACCCACAGGGTAATCCGCGTATAGTTGAAACTGCTTTAGAAAAATACAAGGTGTCCAAAAAGGAACCAAACTTTTTAAAAAACAAATTTATTGCTTTACTTACAACTTAATCAGACTTGTCTCCCTCAAAGTACTCCCCTCCACTGTTGATACACCGCCCCCAACGTTTTTTTCCAGTTCTGGAACGCGTTTGAAGGGATGGTGCGCAGGTCTCATAGCGAATTTTCTAATATCTCTTCCATCGTTTGAAATCGGCGACCTTTCAGGGTGGATTTCAAGTTTGGGAACAAAGAAAGTCTGCAGGGACCAAATCTGGAGAGTAGGGCACCTGGGGGACGATAGTCGTCTCGTGCTTCGCCAAAAAGTCACGGATAAGGAGCGACGGGTGAGCAGGTGCATTGTCATGATGCAGCATCCAGGTCTTGTTTGTTCACGCCTCAGGCCTCTTCCTTTGCACTGCCTCCCTCAAATGCTTCAGTGCCTTCAAATAAAACCCTTTATTGACTGTCTTACCACGTGGAACAAACTCATGATGAACGATGCCCTTCCAATCAAAAAAGACGATCAACATCACCTCCATATTTGAGCGACTCTGACGTCCAGATTTGGGATCGTCTTCGGTGGATGTTTTTCCCCTTTTGAAACGCTGGTACCACACGTGACATTGCGCACGGCTCAAACAATTCTCTCCTTAAGTCTGTTGCAACAGTTGAAAAGCCTCCTTAAAAGTTTTTCTCAATTTGAAACAGAATTTCACGCAAACATGTTGCTCTTCAAAATCTTTCATTGTTCAACTTGCAACAAATCGCCAAGTGCACTAAACACATGTTCACTCTAGCGCGTGTAGCTCGATGACTAATTGACGTGGCGTGATGCGGGTAGTGTTAGACTAAAGGTCAAGGTCACCGCTACACAGTGCTCCCGTTGAGAGCACTCTGCACTGGCTCGTTGCCGCGCTATTTAAAAAGGTCTGTTTCTTTTTGGACAGACCTTGTATGCTTAAGTTGTGAGTCTACTGTATTGCTAAAAGTGGTGTAGATGTACAGTATTGTAGTGTAGTATTACTGGAAAATAATGTTATGATTATGTTATAAGTGTATTTATTTGTGGAATTTTTATTATTTTTTTTCATTACAATACTTGCTCTACCAAACACAAAGACAGCCTGTCGACCGACTGCGTGTGTGTTGCGAAGCACTTTTATGAAAAATAATGCAAATAAAATATTCTAAATGAATTATTTATAGCAAATAAGTATTATGATCAGTAAATATTTGCATTACTGGCCATCCCGGACACAAAGGCAAGCTAAAAGTAGCTGCTAAGTGCGTAGGTGACCACGAGGCTCTCAGTCGTAACAACCTGCCCCCTTCCTCCCTCCGCGCTGCCAGGGAAGTTTTGAGAGGGTCAATATATAATTTTTATGACTTCTTTTTTATTGTTTTATCATTTAAAAAGGTTAAAAATAATTTTTGGAAAAGATGATTTTTCTCGATTTACCCCTGGGTGGGGGATACGGCCAGCGGCACCGTAACCCGGGGCTTAAGGGTTAAGGATTAGTATATCTATTAGATAACGTTTACCCATAAATGAGGCAAAGATGATAAGTAGACAAGTAAGATACAGTAGAAGTCCAAAAATCCGGACTGCTTGGGGATTAGGTTGGTCTGGATTTTTGGATTTCCGGATTCTCAGGCAGTACTTTTAAAATTTAAATTTAAGGAGGAATAAAGAAGAGATGAACAGGTACATTTTGATAGTTTATTCATTAGCAAATATAGCATGCTTCATTTATCAAAATGAGCAGTTTTAAGGAAAAAGCTGTGAATTCTAGAATTTTATTCTTTGTCTCTTTTATATCATAAATTGTAGACTTTCCAATGTCGTATGTTTCCATTAGAACAGTATTGCTCACACCACGTTCTAGTTTCTTAATTATTTCAAGTTTGTCACTCAATTTCAACGTGTTCTTCTTTCTCTTCACACAACGAAGTTTATCTACTTTAGGAGCCATTATTATGGGCTTGTACAGTACAGTACACTGTAAATGAAAAGAGTAGGACTCAAAATTACATACGTTGTCACAGTTTGATTGCTTGTTTTAAAGTGGCGACCACGTGGTCGCTTGTTGTTGCTGTGCAGCTGTGGCACTCACGCATGCGCACATACACACAAAAGCCCGCTAAAAAAAAAAAAAAAAATCCTAAAAGTCTGGATTCTCGGGTGGTCCGGATTTCTGGCATCCGGATTTTTGCTCACTAAGTGGCCTGTCAGTTTGGTGTAAGGTCTAAGCCTTAAATCTATCCAGTACTGAAGAAAATGTCAACTAAAATATTCTCTTTACAGGTGCAAGATTCTTTTGAAGCCATCAACCACAATGTTAGACGAAATGCGATATGTAATAAAGAGAGATGTCACCAATAATACTATATTTAACCCCAGGTATGAGAGGCTGGAATTTTGTAAGTACAGTACTGTATTTAGTGTTAATTCTCATTGTGTCACAATAAAGTGATATAAATATCTTTGTAATAGTGTCAGCAGAGATTATGAATTTATAGTGCAGTACAGTAATCCCTCGCCAACTGTAAGGGTTATACTGCACATATACAGTATATACAGTATTATAGAAATCTCCCACAGTTGGCAAAAACATGATTGTCAAGGGCTGGGGCTCTTGGGAAATAAGGTGTAACAGCTGATCTCTCCCGTTGGGCAACAGAAAGTCAGATATACAACAACCAACTTTATTCTTGTAGTAATGTCATATTCACCTGTGACAAGTACACAAAAAACACACAAACAGTCCCCAAACATGTCCTGACTATTTATTATGTACTGTATAGGGAAATAACAGATATGACCTAACAATTAAAGAATTAGTCACAGATATATTTCATGGATATGGCCACACATGCGGTCGACAAGATGACGACTTAACAACAAAGTGGCACACGCCTTCAGGAGAGATGTAATGCTGACATGTTGTATAAAGCTGTGCTGTGCATTGCAAGTATTAAAAGTATATACAAAATGTAGAAAACTATAATGGTACAGTCCCCATTAATGCCATGTGCTTGGTTTTGATGCTTCCATTAGCAATATAGATATGAGTACAGAATAAAGGTTTTATACCCTACAAGGTTTTTATGTGCAGATATGTGTATGAAAAGTTTTGTAGATTTAAAAAATAGGTTAAATTTTTATCTTAAGATCATAAGTGTGTTATGGCAGAGAACATAAACCTAGGGGGCTGGGTCAACAGAGTAGATTTGTATCTGCTTCATACGTCTAGCAGCTACACTTCGCAGTTGTCCCAAAGTGCGCTCACTCATGGATGTAACGTTTCATTACATTTATTTTACAGTCTCTCCTCGACTTACGACGGGGTTCCTCCCCGACAACCAGGTCGTAAGTTGAAAAGGCGAAAATAATACATACAAATTCTAAAAGAAATATACAGTACAGTAAAAGTAATTAATAATGAAAATTGAATAAAGTGTTACGTGCACTTACCTTTAATGTAATTAGCTGAATGCACACGGGGGCTCAATCATTTTTTAATTAAACATGGAGACTACATTAATTGGATGAAGCAGAGGAGGAGACAGGGCCGTCTTATGTCTGGGTTGTCGTAAGTCGAATATGTCGTTAGTCGAGGAGAGACTGTATTTTATTATTTGACTGATTTATTCTCATATTTTTATTGATGCTTATGTTACTATACTGAAAATTTTTGTGGTACAGAAAATAGTAAAATCTTCGAAACATAGAATGCAGTATATTTTTCATCAGAATTTTGGCCTAAGGTCAAGGCCGTATTTAGATGGGAGGGGGGGTTTATGGGGATGAAAACCCTCCCCAAAATTTCAGCATAATGTTTAATTGGGACAGTACCTCATCCCAAAGTGGGCCCTAAAAACTCCTATTAAGGAGCGGTGCTGACGTTCTATCTTATAGTTGATGGGGACACGCTTAGAAGAGTAGGCTATATATATACCTGTATATTGTTATAGAATCCTTTAAACACCAATTATTCAATTGAATTCCAAAATGGCTGCCAGTTCTGTACTCTGGGGTATTTTATTACTTAAATCACAATTTTACCTTGAAAAATATGTTGTAAATTGCAGGTATAAATTATTCTATACCAAATAATATAACTTAAAAAGAGAGAGAAAGAGGCATCTGGCAGTCTTATTATGTCCTATGTTTGTGGTATAAAGCATTTATCGACCGAAAGCTTGCAACTCCCTGCTGAGTTCTACTGAACATACTGTAAGCCTGGAACCTTCTGCTGAATACCACTGAATATACAGAACTGAGTTAATGACTCTTCTTCACCAACTTTTGTGTTTTGTCATTATATATTAAAAGGGTGGGCCCTTAATTAGTTATAATAGCAATATAATAATACTGTATGTCATAAAATATAAAAACGTGATAAATTGGCTAGGCACGAGATGGAGAGCGAGAGATGCTTATTACACAATTACACTTACACAAATACTGGCAGGTTCAAAGGAAGCATGATACTGAGTACTCTGTCAGCCTTTGTTGTGAAAAGAAACAAACAGTCACTTGAAGACCAGAATAAAGCTGAAGACCCTATACAGCCTAAGCCTATACTGCATGAGTCTGATGAACATGATGATGGGCAGGATTGTACCTATGATTTATCTACTTCAGAAGAATCACACTTCAACAACCCTTTGTCTGAATTCTGATATGGCAAAGAGTATGACATTGGGAGATTTATTGGTGTTAAAGTTGATGATGGGACGAAAGAGAAACTGTAGCAGTCCCCACTGTCACCTATTCATTCTTATAAGTTCCCAGTGGACCCCAAGAGAGTTTCAGTTTCATTTGGTGTGGTTGGAAAGGTTTTCTTGGCTAGTTTATTCTAAAAAACTTGAAGGTGATTTTTATAAGAGATGTGTCCATTTTGGTAAAGAGTTTGTTGGCAAAGGTAGTCATCAGCATGTTTTTGTTTAAAACATAACGGTTATTTTGTTATACAAATTATTCACCTTTGATGCCACAATAAAATGCACCTAAGTACGGGTAAATGATTATTTGTTTGAATGCATGTATTCATTTGTACTGTATATGATTGCTGTACAATATTACAGATATTATATAGTTAATTTACTTCTGCTATAAATATTCATGAATATTTAAATCATTCAACGTTCTCATGATACGGAATATTTATTTATTTATTTATTTGTTTATTGTAATTATGCTTGGAAGGTTATCAGTTGTTTCACACCAAAACATGCACTGATAGACCCAAATTGGATTTTTAATGAATTTATAAAGATTTGGTTGTAATATACATCAACTGTACCAAAGCATAAGATTGTTTTTAAAGAAGCTAGAGAAGAAAGGGGACTTGGGCATGGTAGATGATAACTAGTGATACAAAATTAAGCAAACTTGATGGGCCTAATCCAGCAAACTCTCCCGCCATGCTTGGTTAGATTCCCGTGGATATTTAAAACTGATACTGTAGCCAGTAAAATGGTGTATAAAATATGAAAAGTGGACACTGAAAACCATGGTAGGTGAGGGATTACTGTAATCTCACCATTTTTTTATATAATAATAATGCATGAAGAAAAATGGTAGCAGAATGAAAGATGATTGTAATTTTAATTTATTCAAAAGCAAAATTTTTATTTTTCAGTCACTTCCCAAAGCCTCAAACTAACAAGAAACTATTGCCTAAAACTAGGGGCATAATGCCTGCCAAGGAGATGATTAGAGATTTTACCAACACATCAGAAATAAAGGAAGAAAAGCAGAAAGGAGAAGAGCTCAAAGATCCCCGTGAAAAGGATTTAGAGGTTTGTTACTTAAAGAGTGAATGTAGGGATTTATTTGTTTTGACAGATATTAGTAAAAAATTGTTCCAGGGAATATATGTTTGTCATGTACCGAAATCATTTGGAAATTCTTTTGTATGACCTACAAATCTACAATAAATTCGCTGTTAAGTGTATAATGTACTGTACAGTACCACTAAGTCATGCTCTAGCAGAGCCTTCCTTTGTCAGATTGTTTCAACTTGTTTAATGGGAGAATGTTTTGTCTTGATAGACAATTTTGGATAAAAATGTTGCTGTAGGCAGTTCTGGGTACTTTCTTATCCTGTTGAATCAGGCTTAAAGACTCAAATCTGTTTGATCCAGTGTTTGGCTTTAAAAGAAAATAAAGTCATGCACTTTTACAGCCTGCTTTGACACCAACCCAACAAAAGTTCTTTTGGTCATGTTTAAGCATATCTGCAGCAAATGCCTTCATGAGGGTCAGACAGTGAGGTTAAGCATTGCGCTTATACAGTACTAAATTGTGCCTTATTTAATCATTATTTTGGTTTTACCATACATTTGCCACACAGTTACCACTTAGTGTTTGAAAGTTTGAGGTGAGTCGTAGTTTTGATAGGCATTTGTCTGCTGTTTTTTTATACAATCACAAATAAATTAATGTTCAAATTATTTTGTTTAATTTGTTTTTCTTTACAGGAGCCATTTTTCTTTCCCAAGTTTTTGTTTCACTGAAAGATTAGAGGTTACATGATTAGTACTGAATGTAGTAGCCTTTATAGTATTCATAAATGGTATATTTGTGTATAGTAAATGTAAAGTACAGGAATTACTTTATTAGTGTTTTTGTTGTTGTTTAAAATAGATCTGCGGAGAAATGTGTTCCCTGTTTCAAGGAATTTCTCGGTAATTTCTAGTTTACTATTAATATGGTATAAATGTAAGAGAAACATTTTAAAATTCTCTGTGGACTCAAAATTCTGAAGAAAAAATAGGAATACTTTTTGTAATAAACAAATATTTTGTATTGAAATTGTGCTAAATACATTCTAGTATTGTTAGTAGATGCTCAAATTGTGTTGTCTTGATTTTGTCTTCTCATTTCAGGTTGAGTTATATAAATCGCTGTTAAAGTTGAGGAATCGTATTGGAGATGAAACTGGGTTTATGCCATACCTTGTTGCCACAAACAGAGTCATGCTTCTGCTTACATCTGAGAAGCCAACTACACTAGATGCATTAAGGAAAAGTTAGTTTTCCCATTTATGGCTCAGAGAAGATTTGCCTTTTTGTAAGTGATTGATTGCACATATATACTCAGGAAAGAGTTGTCTAAAATATATTACACCATCCCTTTTTACTTGTCAGCTGAAGGACTGCCTGAGGCAAAAGTTAAGAAGTTTGGCCCTGCATTCGTGGAACATATTCGAGCATTCTGCATGAAGAATAATATAAGTTGTCTAAATGAAGAGAGCAGGACAGATAAGGTAAACATAAGTTATACATTATTTCCTTGATTAATAATAATAACAATTTTCAGCTTTACATATTTTGTCTATTCTTTATCTCTCTCTCTCTCTCTCTCTCTCTCTCTCTCTCTCTCTCCTCTCTCTCTCTCTCTCTCCTCTCCTCTCTCTCTCTCTCTCTCTCTCTCTCTCTCTCTCTCTCTCTCTCTCTCTCTCTCTCTCTCTCTCTCTCTCTCTCTCTCTCTCTCTCTCTCTCTCTCTCTCTCTCTCTCTCTCTCTCTCTCTCTCTCTCTCTCTCTCTCTCTCTCTCTCTCTCTCCTCTCTCTCTCTCTCTCTCTCTCTCTCTCTCTCTCTCTCTCTCTCTCTCTCTCTCTCTCTCTCTCTCTCTCTCTCTCTCTCTCTCTCTCTCTCTCTCTCTCTCTCTCTCTCTCTCTCTCTCTCTCTCTCTCTCTCTCTCTCTCTCTCTCTCTCTCTCTCTCTCTCTCTCTCTCTCTCTCTCTCTCTCTCTCTCTCTCTCTCTCTCTCTCTCTCTCTCTCTCTCTCTCTCTCTCTCTCTCTCTCTCTCTCTCTCTCTCTCTCTCTCTCTCTCTCTCTCTCTCTCTCTCTCTCTCTCTCTCTCTCTCTCTCTCTCTCTCTCTCTCTCTCTCTCTCTCTCTCTCTCTCTCTCTCTCTCTCTCTCTCTCTCTCTCTCTCTCTCTCTCTCTCTCTCTCTCTCTCTCTCTCTCTCTCTCTCTCTCTCTCTCTCTCTCTCTCTCTCTCTCTCTCTCTCTCTCTCTCTCTCTCTCTCTCTCTCTCTCTCTCTCTCTCTCTCTCTCTCTCTCTCTCTCTCTCTCTCTCTCTCTCTCTCTCTCTCTCTCTCTCTCTCTCTCTCTCTCTCTCTCTCTCTCTCTCTCTCTCTCTCTCTCTCTCTCTCTCTCTCTCTCTCTCTCTCTCTCTCTCTCTCTCTCTCTCTCTCTCTCTCTCTCTCTCTCTCTCTCTCTCTCTCTCTCTCTCTCTCTCTCTCTCTCTCTCTCTCTCTCTCTCTCTCTCTCTCTCTCTCTCTCTCTCTCTCTCTCTCTCTCTCTCTCTCTCTCTCTCTCTCTCTCTCTCTCTCTCTCTCTCTCTCTCTCTCTCTCTCTCTCTCTCTCTCTCTCTCTCTCTCTCTCTCTCTCTCTCTCTCTCTCTCTCTCTCTCTCTCTCTCTCTCTCTCTCTCTCTCTCTCTCTCTCTCTCTCTCTCTCTCTCTCTCTCTCTCTCTCTCTCTCTCTCTCTCTCTCTCTCTCTCTCTCTCTCTCTCTCTCTCTCTCTCTCTCTCTCTCTCTCTCTCTCTCTCTCTCTCTCTCTCTCAAAATTCCCATTCACGTTTTTTCTTGCCATATGGCTCTATTCACACTATAGGGACGGTCACGGTTATTACATGCATTTGAAAAATTTGTTTAGATCTTTCTGTAGTTTTGCAGAGTCCTCATCAGATTTAATTACATATCCTATTTTAGTGTCATCAGCAAATTTATTTAAGTTACTGGCTATGCCGATATCTATGTCGTTTATGTATATAATAAATAATAATGGTCTTAAGTACTGAGCCTTGGGGAACTCCACTAGTGACGTTGCTCCAATGCGATTTAGTGCCGTTTATGCTCACTAGCTGTTTCCTGTCCCTTAACCACGCCCTAACCCATTTAAGGATATTACCTTTGATGCCATGCGCTTCTACCTTTCTAATTAGTTCGTGGGGGACTCTGTCGAAGGCTTTGCTAAAGTCGAGATATACCACATCATAATTGTGCCCCTCGTCCACCGATTCGAAAACTGATAAAAAGAATGTTAATAGATTAGTTAGACATGAACGCCCACTTGTGAAGCCATGTTGGGAATCATTGATCAACTTGTGCTTCTCCAGGTGGTTTCGAATAGAGTTTGAAATGATTGATTCTAGTAATTTGCCTACAATTGATGTTTAGACTGATTGGGTGGTAGTTAGAGGATAGTGATCTATCCCCCTTCTTGAAAATCGGTATTACATTCGCTATCCTTCAGGATTCTGGTACTACACTTGTTTTTAATGACATGATAAACAACTTTGCTAAGGGCATACTAAGCTCTTCCTTACATTCCTTTAATACTCTGGCAAATATCTCATCGGGACCAGGTGACTTATTTGGCTTCACTTTGTCTATTTGCTTATTAACATCGTTACTAGTCACTACTCTCTCGCTTAATTTGTTTTCTTCACTATCTCTGAATAGAGTCGGTGCCTCGGGTATCATGTTTAAATTTTCGGTGGTGAAAACCGTTAAAAAATATTTATTCAGATTATTGCTCATTTTTCCGTTGTTATCAGTTAGCTCGCCGGTATCTGAACGTATTGGTCCAATCTTATCTCGTGTTGTGTTTTAGTTTGATACATTTCTCCAAAAGTCAATGCATGGAAAACTCTTAAAAATATTCCTGGCCAACTAGCAATGCCACCAGTACCAGACCCATAGAGCATCCCTAGGGTGAGTCCTCTGGCCCTCCCGTAAAACAACCAACCCCACCTCACCCCACCCCGCCAACCCCCTCTTACCCTCCACAGCCTCAACTTTAAAGTTAACCAAAACAAACACTGGTGACGACAACACAATTTGGAATTAGTTAATTTTACTGCCACACCACCCCGTTAAGTACTGTACTGTGGTGTCCCTCAGGACTCATTTAGTTTAAAATTCGGGTTGAAACACGATGACCCTCTTCAAGGGAAGATGTTGTTCAATAATACAGGCGTGAGAGTCTACCCAGATGCACCTCAGCCCATCTCCTAGAATAAAGAAAACATTGTTTTTTGTAGTATTATGTTAAAACAAACACTCATAAATCAACAAGGCTCAAATTATGGGATGTGAAATGGTCTGTTTAATCGGGATCAGCTGATGGGAAGATGGGGGTGGGGGGGGGGTAAGGTGAGGTGATATGTTTGGCAGTTAATGCCAAGGTCGTGTGCTTATTTATTTTTCTGTTCTTAGGAGTGACTATAAGTTTTCTCTTATAAATTGTCACTAAACTGACATGTTCTAATTAATTTTATTACAAAGGGTTAAAATTTTATCTCTTGTGCAAAATATATGACGTTTATATTCAAATTATTCGCTGTCTTGCAAGGATTCTAGCAATGCAAATTATATTCTAACTTTAGTCTGTGATATTATATAAGATAAAAACTGTAAGCCTATAACCACCGAACCCTGACTGGGAGGGGGGAGGGAGGATGGGAGGGAGGTAGGAAGGGGAGGTGACAGTGACACGTTTGACAGTTGGGGCCAAAGGTCTAGTGAAGTATTTTTGTGTTTATTTATGTCCTTTAGATTGAGTTTTTATTTTTTGTTTATAAAATGTCACAGAAGTGACCGAGGAGAAGATAATTTACATTGCTGGAATTCTTATAAGATAGTGATTAATTTGAATATAATCATGCTATAGTTTGCACTAGACAAAAATTTTAGTAATCATTTAGTACATTATTTTGAGTACCGTACATGTACAGTACAGCTTTGCCCTTAGGACAGTGTAGTGTGTCCAGAGAAACATTAAGCGCGAATTTTAACATATGATGCGCCAGATTTACTCGCACAAAATAGGAAAGATTCAATTTAAATTAAAACATTGTCCTTACTTGTGGGTGTCGCTTTAAATCAATAATCTTAAATTGAATCGCTTTAAATCGACGTTCTACTGTATTGAATTAGCATGGACAGTGAAACAATTTATCGTCACATCCACCTAATGATATTTTCACTTTACTATCAGTTTTTTCCCATTCTTGAAACAAATCCACCATACTTAATTTTTAAGTAAAATGCTAATGTTTCTTAGCATTTAACAGAAGATGAGTGAAGCAGTCTCTGAATCCGTTGATTTTTCCTAGTTACAACATTTTTCTTACGCCCACCAGAATAATTTCAATGTTAATTTTGGCACATGAGGAACTATTTGCCAAATTAATAAAATCAACTGTGATTGCCTTCAAAGTAGTTCCCTTCTGAGTTAACACACAGCTGCATACGATGCTGCCACAGTTCAAAACAATTCTGCAGATCATGATATGTAAGGCTGTTGAGGAGCTTCGTCATTTTTGCTTTCACCTCTTCTACCAACAAAAAATTGTTTCCTTTGAGCACGGACTTGGTCTTTGGGAAGAGGTAGAAGTCGCAGGGAGCCAGGTCTGGCGAATAGGGTGGATTCTCAAGCACAGTGATGTTTTTATTGGCTAAAAACTGCTTCATAGACAAAGCATTGTGGGCTGGCACATTGTTCATCTGACAGCATTTTTGGAACCATTTTTGCACAAACCTTTGTCATGTTCAATTCTTCCGTTAGAATGCATCGAACACTTTCCCTGTCTAAATTAACTTTTTAAAGCTATTGCTCAAACACCCAACCTACATTTTTTTCTAATCACGTCTCGCATTTTTTCAATGTTGTCATCTGTAACTGCTGTGCGTGGACGGCCTGGGCAGTTATCATCTTTCCTGGTTTCTCTGCCTTCCAAAAATCGTTTGTGCCATTCAAGAAAGCATGCACGAGATATGCAATCTTCACCGTAAGCCTCAGTCAATAATTGAAAAGTTTCCGTCACGGATTTCTTTAACGAGAAACTTGATGTTAACTTGTTGCTCAGTTTTGCAGTCCGACATTTCCCGACCCAGCGTAAGAACCCATCTATGCAGTAGACTCGCAACTTATGCACATTTTTCTTACTCGATTTCAACTATACAGGGGGTACGTAGATTATCCCGGGGGTTAAGATACAATTTCCAATTTCAAACTTAATTTTTTTATGTCTAGTGCAAACTGTAGCATGTTTACAGTACATTACTGTATATTCATTTTAACCACAATCTTGTAAGAATCCCACCAATGTAAATTATATTCTCCCAGCACAGTTCAGTGACATTTTATAGCAAAAAACAAAAACTCACTCTAAAGGACATAAATAAATAAACAAATAAATACTTCACTAGACCTCCCGGCACCAGCTGTCAAACACATCACCTCCCCTCCCCTCCCCCCCTCCATCTTCCCAGGCAGGGTTTGGTGGTTTTAGAGTTTTTATCTTATAAAATATCACAGACTAAAGTTAGGAGAATATAACTTGCATTGCTAGAACCCTTGCAAGACAGTGAATAATTTGAATATAGACATCATACATTTTGCACAAGAGATAAAAAGTTTAGTACATTAGTGGAGTACATTTTAGTAATGTACAAATTTTTCAATTGTATTTTGGGGTAGATTAACATAAATTTCTTCAGCTATTTTTATTCATTTACATAAACACACCATCCTAAAAAAAAAAGGAGGTAAAAGAAATAATTGTCCTAAGTGCAAACCTGTAATGTACAGGGCTGCTTCACTTATCGCAAAGGTTACGGGCATGAAACTCGTTGCGAATATCGAAATTGCGAATAGCGGAGCTATTTCTCCCATAAGAAATAATGTAAATAGGGGAGATACAGGCATCGCAGTGGTCATGGCCGTCAGATTTTAACACTTGTTTTACTCAATACATATAGAACATAAAATGAGGGCATAATATCAAATAAACATCAATAACAAACACTGAGTTTATTAGGCGTATATGTTTACAAGTACAGTATACAGTGGTCCCTCGGTTAATGAACACAATTCGTTCCAGAAGGTCGTTCGTTAACCGAAAATTTCGTGAACCGAAACCATTGTTTCAATGGGATTTTGGGTAATTTTTTCCAGATCATCGAAAATTACATACAAACTAAAAATAAATGCAGTAAAGTACACTTACTTTGAGGTGTGCATGTAGAAGGCTCCTGGTTGATGATGATGATGATGATGGGAATTAGAAGTGGGGGTGGAGGAGAAGGGAGAAGAGAAGGCAGTGGGGTGGAAGAGAAGTCACCCCATGCTTCATGTTGCCATTTCACCATAAAATTTTAGTTCACCGATGTTTCTTCTCCGTGTTCATGTCTTTTTACGATATCCAATTTCAAGTGGGGGCATGTTGGAGCAGGATGCAATTTCTGGAAACTCTTGGAAAATTTATTCCCAGGCCCAGAATGGAAAGGTTTGGAGAGATTTTCTCAGAATTTTTTTCCGGAAAATGCCCCTGATTTTCATCCTTGGAAACTCGTTTGCAGATCCGGGATGAAGAGAGTTTTCATAGAATTTTTCCAGCCCAATTTCAATTCTGGTTCTTTGATATCTTCATACATATGCTTAATTAATTGTACTTAATATAGATACACTGTACATGAGGAATTCCATAAATATAGAAAATGTCATTTCTTGTTTTCAGACAGAGCCATTCAAATGATTGCTGATTTTTTCTTTGTTGGTTGAAATAAATATTATGGCATTCTTTATTTTCAGCTTCCTGTGAATGAGGAATCACAGCCTTCCACAAGTAACTATACCACTGGTAATCAACCAGATATGAATTACTCCAAGATGGGCACATGTGTAGAGCATGGAAGTACATCAGGTTGGATATCTGCTTCTAAAACTATTGTCACTGTTAGCAATAGTGTCAAATCTTCTTGTTCTTCAGACAAAGCAGACAGTTCTGTGGACACCTTATGTAAACTAGAGAGTAGTACAAAGGAGTCTGAAGAATCTAGAGGAGGAGAAAGAGAGAGAAAACCCATGTCTAAATTAAGTGAAAGCATGCTAAAATGTCCTTTAAATTCTACAAATTCTTCTGTAAAATATGAAGATAACCAATTTACACCAAAATATTCAGTACCTAGGATGGATGGAAATGATTTTCTTCCACTTGATGTTTTCTCATCCAGTGAGGAAACAGATTTGTTTAGTGAACTTGATGAAGAAACATATATGAGTAAGACTGCAAGACCTATTTGTTTAGACACTGAAGATAAGTTGCCTGAACCAGAGACACAGAAACCTGAAGAGAAATTGTTAGAACAAGCTCAACAGAAAATAGAGTCACATTCTTCCAGTAATCATTTACAGCTTACAAAATTTCCAAAGGGCAACACTAGCAAAAAGAAAGGAGTATCTTTTGATACCTCAGATACAGAAGAGGAAGGTAATAGCAATGAAGATTCTCAAGAAAAGTATGAACGTATAATTTCAGACACTAAAAGGAAATTGAAAGATAGTGGATGGATTGATGCTCGTAAAATGAAGAAGAAAATGAGACAAAATTCTCTCTTCAGATAAAAGCCCTGTACAATGTGTTGTTTAGATCCTAAGAGTGCATACTATTTTAGTCTGTAAATTACTTATATACAGTACAGGTATCCCTCAAGTTATGGAAGGGTATTCCTGAAAAGTTTTCCCTAACTCAAAACCTATTTTCCCATTAATTTTCATTATATAATTTGGAACACATTTCTACAGACCCCCAACCCCCTCCAAAAGTCTTTTTAGTACTGTACTTAAATAATTGACAAACAAAATTGTGATCAGAGACAGGTTCCTACAAGAAAAAATCTTTCTTAAAACATAAGGAAATAAGGGGTGTAAGGAAATAATGATTATAATATGAGTGAATTACATGAATTACTGCAGTAAGTTAATTTAATCATAATTGAAAAGGTATTCTATGTATGATAAAACTGGGGTAAGTGACAATGCTTGACAGTCATTTTTGTTTTCATCAACATCAGGGCCATCATTTTCTATGTCAGTACCATCTTGTGTTGGCCTTGTCATCCATTTACTATCTTTACTATCAGTTTCATGCACTAGTTGATTATGATGTATGGCAAATAAGTGTGATTCATTATCTGAACTTATGATGTGTTCTTCATCACTGTTTTTGTGGCACTCGCCTTCTTTAGCATAATTTTGAAGAACTTGGTGATGAGGTTTTTTTCTATGTGGCAGTTACTTACTATAAAGTATAACTTTATTGCTATGTTCTGCACTACTATACAGCACTCAAATTTACTGTATTAGACTGATGTTTTGTAATGTAAATTTGTATCCATATTTATGTAATTTTTCTTCAATATACATCACAGGATGTTCATACATGATGCTATGCACATCAAATGTCAAGACAATATTGTGGAGTTGCACTAGTTATGCTTTGCCAACACTGGCTAAGTGGCAAGTCAGGCGAATGAACTCATAGATTCATTGGATAACCAGTGAGTCTAGACAATATGGTGGCATTTGTTTTCTGAGTGCAGTGCAGGCCAGTATCACCAGTCACTTGTGTTATCCATATCTGTCTTTTATTACTGAAAAAGAATTATGGATTTTAAACAGGTGTGCTGGCATCTGCTCAGAGGACAATGTAATTAGATTACAGGAGGTCCCCGGGTTACGTACGTCTGACTTACAAACATCTGCCAATGCAAATGAGGTTAAACTTTAAATTTACAGTACTGTACTGTATTTTATTTACTTGGTGACATATTTTTTACTTTCATTTCCTTTATTTTGTCATTCTATAAGGACTTAGGGTATGATATACAGGTTGTAGCTCTCTAGTCCGGCATTCTGTGGTCCGGAAACTCCCGTGGTCCGGAACAATTTTAGTTTGCCCAATACCCGGTAGGTAGATAACTTTTTTTTTTTTTTTTTTTTTTTTTATAACTTATCTGAATTATTATTATTGTTACAGGAGTATTACATTTTCGCCCCTCAGGCTCCAATGTGGGTCAGTAACCTGTGCCCGGGTGGGCTAATCCCAGTAAAAAAAACACAACAACAAAGCTGCGGGAAATTAAGGTTTGTTTACATCCGGCAGTTCAGTTCTCTCTCTGTTTGTCTATACAGAGTACAACATTTAACCCTTCAATATATATGAACAGTAAATAAGTGTTGCTTTCATATTCTTATGTAGAGTAATGACGATATGTTTTCACATGTGCGCCCTTACATACGCGATCTCACTTTTTTCTTTAACATTAATGGTTAGCTACTTATATTGTTCCATTTATTAACATTAAATAACATTACTTCAAACAACCATATTAATTTTTACATTAATTTTACTACAGCTACAACCAGGGTCTTATTTTCTTGTTTTATATGTAGAACCAATCAGTCACTGGTTTTGTAAACATTAATGAAAACAATGCCGGCAACCGTCTCGTCTCCTCGTGTGTTTTAATATTCCACGAATTATTAATGAATTGTATTGTTCATTTTGCACACACAAACATTAATTCTAAAAAAAATCAGAAACATTAATTAAAACATAGATGAACAGTAAATAAGTGTTGCTTTCATATTCTTATGTAGAGTAATGACGATATGTTTTTCACATGTGCGCACTTACATACGTGCAGTCTCACTGTTTTTCTTTAACATAAATGGTTTGCTACTTTTATTGTTCTATTTATTAACATTAGAAAACATTACTTAAAACAACCATATTAATTTCTTACATTTATTTTACTACAGCTACAACCAGGGTCTTATTTTCTTTTTTTATATGTAGAACCACTCAATCACTGGTTTTGTAATCAACGAAAACAATGCTGTCTCGTTTCCTCGTGTGCTTTAATATTCTACGTATTATTAATGAATTGTATTGCTCATTTTGCACACATAAACATTAATTCAATAAAAAAGACATTCAGTAATAAACAATAATGAATCTTTTGTACATAAGAGAAATGACGCTGTTTGCACGATTGTGCACGTCGTCTGAAAGTTGGCGGGCCGTTCAAACCCGTCGAAATTCGAGTTTCCGCCGTCAAAATTTTAAATTATGTAGTGTTTTTTTTTGTGTGTCCAAATAAAAACGTTGAATTAAAAACTCGCGAAATTTGAGAAGCTACTGTATGACATTTAACCCTTCAATATGTCTTCAAAGAGACCACGAAGCAGTTAACGTGGTGCAAACGTAAGCGCAAGTCACTATCTGTCCAAGAAAAGGGTGAATTTCCATGGTCCGGCACCGGTCAGGTCCCGAGGTTGTCGGATTAGAGAGGTACAACCTGTAATGTGATTTTAAACTTTGTTCTGTAAGTACGGTATGCACATAGGGTATGTGGTTTGACTTAAGTACATATTCAACTTAAGAAAGTCCGTACGAATGGAATTCATTAGTGACCTGGGGACTGCCTATACTGTACTTAGTGAGTATTTAAAGAGGGAATAAAAAAAAATGCAATTTAACAGCCTTTAAACACCTACTGTATAGTCTTCATATTACAATATGCATTAACTACTGATATTGTAAATACTGTACTACATATTCATGTTTCCCGTTCCCTGTTTGAAAATATATGGACTACCGTCACACCCATAATGCTCTGTGAGCTAAGCAGATGCCCTCAAGAGATACAGTTTGCTATGTTGCTTTCTTACCTATTAATAAGTATTTTGGGTATTTTGAGGAATGCACTGATAAGCATTTTTTTAGTAATTACAGTAAGTCATCGCTTAATGTCGTGGTTACTTTCCCAAAAATGCGAAGCTATACGAAACAACATTAAGCGGATAAATTTTCCCCATAAGAAATAGATAAAATACGGGAGTTACGTTCCTGAGCCTCCCTTTGTCCCATGAAATACATTACATATACAGAAAATCATTATCATTTCTATAGAAAACAGTGCATGCATATACAACTACTAAGTTTGTATTGGTACTCACCGATGGGCGGAGGTGTAGAGCGAGTGTGTGGTGGGTAGTGAAGTGTAGGAGGTGGATGGCGGGAGGGGAGGAGTATGGTAGGAGCGGAGCAGGGCGGGAGAGGAGGAGGGTGGTGAGTCACTGAGACTTTCGAGCCGAGAGAACTAGCGCGGCCAGACAAGAGAGGGTGATGCTCCATAAAAGGTAGTTCGTGATGACGCAAAACGACGTAATGAGTCATCGGGATGTTAAACGAATTTTTGGTATCTAAAGATTAGCGATGTACAGTGACCCCTCATTTAACGAACGCCTCGGTTAACGAAATTTCGGTTAACGAGCTGCCTTCCATAAGGATCTTCAATTCGGTTAACGAATTTCTTACGAACCGACCTCAACATGTTTTCGCTTGCACTGACCGGGCAACCAGCTTTAGTATCAGTCCGCCAATACATTAATCGGTTCTAGGGCTTAAATTCCTTACTATTTTAGTAAATATCAAGAAGTTTATACTATTCAATAATTTTAAAAGTTTAATATTCAATTTTTTAGTCATTTTAACAATTATTGAACATAATTGAAGGTAAAGTGACTAGTTTAATGCGTGGCATCCAGCCTCTTAACACAGCAAACAGGAGTTAGTCTCTCTCTGTTTTCACTGGAGGTAACATCTTGCTTGAGACTCTCTTCAACTAAACGCTTTTTTTCTGTGTTTCCAAGCAAATTATTGGTCATTTTGAAATATATTTTACATATTGACAATATATAATGCAGTGCAGTGTTGATTTAAAGAAAATAATATTGAAATACACCAAGAGAACTAAAATTTTATGGGTGAAATGGTGCCATGGGGTGACTTCTCTTCCACCCCAATGCCTTCTCTTCTTCCTTCTCCTCCACCCCCATTCTAATTCCCATCATCATCATCATCATCATCATCCAGGAGCCTTCTACATACACACCTCAAAGTAAGTGAACTTTTCTACCATTTTTGTTGAATTAAGGCAATTTTCAGTGAGCTGGAACCAATTACCCAAAAACCCATTGAAACAATGGTTTCGGTTAACGAACTTTTAGGTTAACGAACGACCTTCTGGAATGGATTGAGTTCGTTAACCGAGGGGTCACTGTAGTACCGAAACAATGCTAAGCGGGCCGACGTTATACGAGGACTTACTGGTAGTAGATTCTTGTTATTGTGGCTGCTACTTCCTGATGCAGTACAGTACTCCCAGCACCACAGATGATAAACAGAACTGTATTGTATTGCCATATTTAGTGGTGTTTATTTGCATGTACCACACCAGTGATCAATTGCAGGATCGAAATTCTTTGGGCTAGAGTACTGTACAGTGATCGCTCGGTTAACGAAATTTCGGTTAACGAATAACTTTCCATAAGAATCTTCAACTCGATTAACGAAAAAAAATTCGGTTAACGAAATTCTTACGAAATCGTGTCAACATGTTTTCGCCTGCTCACCAGCTGGAGTATTAGTCCGCCAATACAGTAAACGGTTTTAGGGCTTAAATTCGTTACCATTTGAGTAAATATCAAGAAGGTTGTACTATTCAATAATTTTCCAAGTCTTATATTGCAATTTTTAGTCATTTTAACAATTATTTAACATAATTGAAGTACAGGGAACTAGTTTTTAGCGCGCCAAACAGCCACTTGACTCGCCCAGAATGGCGTCAGTTTGTGTCTCTGCTCAGTGGAGGAAGCATCTTGCTTGAGACTCTCTTGAACATAAACTATTTTTACGTTTTTACAGTACAATTATTGGTCATTCTGAACTTTATTTTACATATTGACAATATATAGTGCAGTGCAGTGTTGATTTAAAGAAAATAATCTTGAATTACACCTAGTGAACTTAAAATTTTATGGGTGAAATGGCAGCATGAAGCATGGGGTGACTTCTCTTCCACCCCCACTGCCTTCTCTTCTCCCTTCTCCTCCACCCCCACTTCTAATTCCAATCATCATCATCATCAACCAGGAGCCTTCTACATGCACACCTCAAAGTAAGTGTACTTTACTGCATTTATTTTTAGTTTGTATGTAATTTTCAGTGAGCTGGAACCAATTACCCAAAATCCCATTGAAACAATGGATTTGGTTAACAAAATTTTTGGTTAACAAACGACCTTCTGGAACGAATTGTGTTTGTTAACCGAGGGACCACTGTACTGTATATATCAAAGTTTACTCCATGAGGTTTTGGGTAAAAAATGTTTTAACATGGGATCCTATTGGAAAATGGGACCCATTGAATAAGAACTTAACAAGCACTTTTTCAGGAATGCATCCCACTTGTTAAATGGGTCCTTACTGTATTGTGTACAGTATTTTTGTTTTTGTTTAGTGAAATAATGGCAGCTGGCAAAATTTTTTGTTTAAACTGAAAATTCCCTCCAATAACAACCTGTGCCCGGGTGGGCTGATCCCTGAAAAAAAAAAAAAAAACACCCTAACCTAACCATTCTGAAATCCGAAAAATTCCAAAATCCGAAATTCATCTGGGCCCAAGGATTTCGGATAAGGGATTGTCAACCTTGTAGTAAGAGCACTGACATGTTCCTTGATAAGAGAGAGGAGTTTGAAACACTACTGAAGGTGTACCAACCAGATATTGTAGGCGTAGAACTGTTGTACAAGTACAGTATTGCTGGATATGACTCATTTACGAACCTTTCTCAAGAAACTTGCAAGAGGGGTATGGTTATCTATGCTAGGCAAGACCTTAGAGCCAGCCAGGCGAGGGTACAGGGAGAGGATGTTTTTGAAGAGTCCAAGTGGTGTAAAATAAAATTAAAGGGAGGGGACTTACTTATCATCGGGTGTATCTACAGATCCCCAAACTGTGGCCCACTAAATCAAAGGAACTTAAGAGCCTTAATAGACAACATGGCGATGCTCAACCCTAACCACCTCCTTATCATGGGGGACTTTAACTATGGCGACATCGACTG